TTTCTTTGTACCCAGATCTGAGTTTCAGTCCACTCATTCCTTCTTTCCCAGGTTGGGCTCTCTGTCCAAAGGTCTGTATTAGTCATTTGTTCTGTGACTGGAGTGCTGCCCTTAAACCACTTACTGGAGCCTAGGGCCCTGCTGGCTGCTGCTAGATTTCTTTCTTACCCAGTTTTCCATATTTTAGCCCAGATTCCCATCATTTCGTCACCCCATTCTTTCTTTAGGGTACCTGCTATAGATTGAATTGTGTCTCCCAGAAGGTATGTTGAAGCCCTAATTCTTAGTACTTCAGAATCTGACCTTATTTGGAAATAGGGTTGTTACAGATATAACATGTTAAGGTGAAATCCTGCTAGACTAGGGTAGGCTCTTAATCTAATGTCAATGGTGTCCTTATAAAAAGACAGCCTTTGGGAGACAACTCCATGGCACCATGGTAATATACTGCTCGAGAGAAGCCAGATCTCACGTGGTGCGTGTGGTTTAAATTTCTAGCCAATCAGCCTGGAACATGTGGATATGTGTGTGCATGGCCAGGATTTGATGGGCTGGAGAACTGGAAGTAAGGGACCACAATGTGACTAGACCTTGTGAAGGGTACTCATGTCTCTCTTTCCTCTCCCTCTCACTCACTCTCACGTTCATGCACATTTGTGAATTAGAAATGAATTTTAAAAAGAGTCCTGTAGAGACACAGAGCCAGAGAGAATGCCCTGTGATGACCAAAGTAGGGATTGGAATTATGTCACTGAAAATGAGGGAACACCCAAGATTAGAAGCAAGGTAGAGGCAAGGCAGGAGTTCTGCTTCAGGTTTGGAGAGCATATAGTCCTGTTGACACCTTGATTTCTGCCTTCTAGGCTCTAGAACGGTGAGACAATAAATTTCTGTTGTGTTAAGCCACCCAGTTTGTGGTGCTTTGATACAGCAGCGCTAGGAAACTAATATAACCTCTCACTAAATACTTTGTTCTAAATTCTTTCTTCCCCTTTTGTGTTTACTCAAAAATAACCAGACATTGTGTAATTTCATTGGAACTCTGGCTTGCTGTAGATGGAAGGTCTTTGGTCAATGCCACTGGTCATATTGTTTCTGCTCACTTGTTCTGCTCCTATGGACAAGGAGTCTAATAATCTAGCTCATTGACTCTAATGCCCAACCTAAACCAAAACAAATGGCAAGTACTATCACCTGTTGGCATTGTTATAAACTAAGAATACAGTTTGTCCTCTTCACAGATGACAGTGAGTCAATGTTTTCCCCAAACTTCATAGATTGAAGCCTTACCCCCCAATATGATGGTATCTGGAGACAGGGCCCTTGCAAGGTAATTAGGATTCAATGAGATCATGAGAGTGGGCCCTTCATAGTGACATTAATGCTTTCATGAGAGACACCAGAGAGCTTGCTTGCCCTCTGACCCAACATGCACACAGAAAGAGGTCATGTGAGTATATAGTAAGATGGTAGTTGCTGAGAAGTGAAGACACACCTCAGAATTAAGTCTACTTAGCTAGCACCTTGATCTTGGACTTCCCAGCCTGCAGAACAGTGAGAAATAAATTTCTGCTATTGAAACCAGCATTCTATGGTATTTTGTTATGGTAGTTCCAGCAGACTAAGATGCTGCATATGATCGTGCTTTTCTTTTTAAGACTTGTATGTTTCAAACACAGCCAACACAGCATAGACTGCCACTGGGCTTAAGTGACTGTTAGTTCCTAGGGCTGTCGTGAATAAATTGTTACAATCTTGTTGGCTTGAAACTAGAAAATTTGTTCTCACAACAGCAGAGGCCAAAAATCCAACATGGTGTCAGTAGGGCCACACTCTTCCTGAAGGCTCTACAGGAGAATCCTTCTTTGCCTCTTCCAACTTCTGGTAGCTCCATCGGTTCCTTGACTTAAACTATGTAAGTCTAGTTTCTGCCTCTCTGTGTATGCGTGCACACTGTTTCAGACAGGGACTTGCCGTGTCGCAATCCTCTTGCCTTACTTCTGAGTAGCTAGGACTACAGATATACGCCACCATGACTGGATTTTAGGGTGGGGCTGGGAATCCAACCCAGGCCTCCCATGTGGCCTTAACCTGCTGAGCAGCAGGCTCCAGCACTCCTGTGGCTACGCCTCTGTCTGTCTTTACATGGTTTTCTCCTGTTCTCCTGAATGATCTCACCTTGTGATCCTTAACTTAATTATATCTGCAAATACCCTTTATCCAAATATGGTTACATTCTTAGTCTCTGGGGGTTAGGATGTGGACATATCTTTTGGGGAGTCATCATCCAACTCACCACATGTGGTTATGTAGCCTAGGAAAAAGAGAAGATGATGAATTATTGTAGAGACAAAACTGACAGAAGGAAATTCAAAAATGATTTATGTTGCTTTCAGGCCATCACCCTATACTTTGCTTTTACAAAGATTTAAGCCTCTGGAGTTTCCATATGGTTGAAAAGAAAAATAACTGCAAAGCTACTGAACTGGAAACTCAGTATTTGATTTTCCACTTAGTGACAGGCTAAATTACAAAGAGCGCAAAGCGTTTTGTGTATACAGGAGTCCCTGCTTTGCTGCAATTCTACTTTGGCAATTTACATTTACAGTGTTCAGCCAATTAAACCTCTCTTATCAACTTAGGGCATTTACAGCAGGAAGGCGACACACAATTAAAGTTCTATCAGTTAGTCAGCTTGCGTGTGTATGCCAGCTCTCAGCGTCAATCTGTTTCCACAGTTTCTTTTGTATCTCAGACCTTTTCCTGTGGTTTATCGGTCTGTCCCCAAGGCAGGGACACTGAGGGGAGGGGCCAGTTGTTGATTTGTTTGCACAAATGACAAAGGAGGGAAAAATTATGGTGCCAAGCAAAGCAAAACAAAGAACCATAGCAGAAGTATTCCCTAATCATCATCCATAGTGCTTCATTAGTATTTGTTGAGTTTAATATTCCATTTGATAGTCACTATAAATCAATGAGGTATGGAGAAATTATTAGCCTTATCTTATAGGTAATTAAACTTATGTTAATGAGAGTTGAACTACCTTTCCAAATCATGCCATTTATAAGTAGCACACAAAAATAAGTGGGCTATTTGAACAAATAAAGGCACTTTCAAAAGGAGGTAGATTTCCAAAATATTTTAAGTAACAGAAGGATCATTTAAGTAAGCCTAGAGGTGTCAAATGGAATTAATCTCAAAACATTTGGGTGAAGTTGCTAAAAAAGTTTTTGTTTCTTACAAGAACAACATTATTACATAGTCAGCCTCTGAAAACTCTTTAAAATAGAAAACTCAGTTAAAAAGTAACAATAAGCATCAGCATAAAGTCATTTAATATGCAAGAGTTTTGTCTGAATTGGGGGAATAAATTCTAATTTAGTGAGTTGAGGAGCAAACTTGGCATAATTTGTCTATAAGACCGATTTTGGTTTAGGCCCAAGACCTTGAGATTTTGTGATCTTGAAAAACCCAAAGTGATGACGAATCAGGGGTAAAAGGTAATCTGGCAACTTAGGTTGGTTGGCTACAGCCATGCTGTCACGTGCGAGGGAAGGTACTACCAAGGACCTTCCATGCAAAAACTGCAGAAGACCCAAGAATTTGATTTCTAAAGTATGTGATTTGCCAAAGCTTTGAATCAAGGCATGAACGAGATGTCCATGTTCAATCTCTCACATCAAATGTCTTCCATTTCTTCAAAAGTCTTCCAGAGACTCATTTTTCTCCTAGAGAAATATCACTCAGCTTGTGCTTCCCTGAAGTTGTAATTGGGAAAACTAAGAAGAGTAGACTCCTGCCCAATATTAACATCTTATAAGTATGAATAAAATCGTAGCAAATGGTTTTTCTTCCTCAATATAGAAAGGTGCATACTATTGTATTGGTAATTCCACTTGAAGATGATCGTATGTTTATTAATATCTCTCTAAAATGTGGATAGGAATATAACTAGATCTCTTGCATTGGTTGTTCACTGAACAACTTCGGGGAGCACCTTTCATGTAGAACACAATGTATCATGCCCCCCAGGAAATTCAGGTCACCTGACTACATCGCCCTTGTTCACTATAAGACACTTGGGATAGCAATTAAGAAGTCCCCTTGCTTAGTAATACAACTTTTTAAATGTGAAATGGCGGTTTATATAAAAATTGTCTAATGAGTGACAAATGAGATTTAGAAAAGAACTGATATCTGCAGGCAGATATGGCATATTCTTATTTTCCGTGACAGATTTGCTTAAATACTACTAATTCATCTTTATTTTTGAGGTATTGTGATCAGATCTTTAGTGACTGTTAATCCTATATTTTGTAGCAAACTTGTTCACTACTCACTGCTCCTCACTCTTTTGTATGGCTTTTTTGAACGTACATGCCCACATTTCCCTATTTTTTTACAAATTACATGAATTCTTCCCAAAATCTAAAAAAGTATTTGTTTGCAAATATTCCTCACCCTGAATGTTATGCATGTATTTATTTTTCCAAGTGATCACTAAGCTCTCCAAGGTATCTGTGTGCTGTATTAGACAGCTATTACTGCGATAATGCTAGGTAAGGAACAGTGTCAGAATCTCAGTAGCCTATGGTATTTCTTTCTCTCTCACAGGCTTCTGGGACAGCTGGAGCAGTTATGCTTTAGGCTGTGGGTTAGAGTGAGGTCTGTACCATGTGTCTCCCCATTCTGGGACTAGTGGCTTCCCAGGGCATGTTTCTTTCATGGCAGATGGCAGAAGCTTGAGTAGGTGAGCCAAACCAAGCAAGCACATTTAAAGCTTCTGATGGGACATAAGCTCCACCTAAGTTCATTGTCCAAAGCAAGTTGACAACAATGAGGTGGAAAAGTGTACTCTGCCCCAAAAGGAAGCTACTATGACATCATATATGTAGAGGGCCTGTTATAATTCTATTGGAGTAAACAGTAATCCACTGGGAACCAAAATCCAATCCACACCATCTACAGAAATCTCAGATTTATTCTCTGTCATTTGCAGGAGTTGAAATTGATTGGACTGGATATTCCACACTTTGCTGCAGATCTTCCACTGAACCGATGTAAAAACCGTTACACAAACATCCTACCATGTAAGATGGTCCAGTGTTAATCCTGCTCGTGTTTTTTTTTTTTTTTTTAAAGATCAAAGGACTCTTACGGCAGATTAATCAGTTTCACTAATCTCTGACTAGGGCCAATTGCCATCTGAATCTCAAGGCCATCATTGAGATTGCATTGATTTTACTCATGCTTTGATGTCATTAGGTCCTGCCATACACAGGAAGATTTAATTATGCTTTTACATGATCTGAACAGAAGAGACTGACCTTTGGTCCTTTGGTGATCAGAGTCTTAGCCGAATTAGAGAGCAGACAATTTGTCCTCTTATAAAATCTTTTCAGTTAGTTCAATAATAGAAATAGGCAAATGGAGGGGACCAGCAGTTAGCATAATGGCTATGTCGCTGGACTCCCACGTAGTCGACCGCGGTTCACGTCCCGGACCCGGTGGCTTAAAACTCATGCTGGGTACGTGTGCATGCGTGCCCAAGATCCCGAGAGGAGAATGGAGGAGAAGGGATTGCAGCGTGACCATCCCCCCTGGGGGGTGATTTCTCGCTTTCTGTCTCTGTCTCTCTCTGTCTGGCGAGCGCACACGCCCTATAGTGAAAAACCTCTCATAAAAAAAAAAAAAAGAAATAGGCAAATGGGAAGAGTACAATGAATTATAATGAATTAAAATGCCTTCTCTAACTTCTTGCAAGTTATGTTATGCTTAGCTCTTTGTAATAAAAGCAACATTCAAGGGAAAAAAGTGGTATAACCTACAGGTCAATTGAAATATATCCCAATAGAGATTGGATTTCCCTTTTTGCCACATACTAGATAGTCTGGGAAAGAATGTGAAAGTGGGAGGAGGGAGGCTGCAAAACTTCCAGAAAGAATTCTCCCCTTATCTTATTAAAAAGTTATATTATCATACCAGCACTTCACAGCTGTACACATGTCAGAATTTTTCTCATTCCGTTTATCTACAAAACGTCCATGCATGTTTTCTTCTCCCAAGGGTTGTGAATTCTCCGGATGTCCAAAGGTGAAATGAAAGTCACATGTTTACTGTAACTTTCTAATAGAATCTCCCCAATATTTTAGTTCCTGTAAATATTCTTTACGATATCCCCCACAACCCAAAGACTATTCTTCCAAGCACGGGAGGGCCAGCAGAGAGAAAATCATGGTTGGAAGATATACAGATATGTAGATATACTCATTTAAACGAGAGACGAAGGAGGACGTATGGTCAGACTGTAAGGTAAAATAAAGTAAAGCTGACCTCCTTTTTTCATTACTGACTTATCTGACTTGATCATGGTAGAGCCAGTTCTTTCCTCCATCCTCATTCTTACTATTTCGTTTGTCCTTATTCTTTGCAGATGACTTTAGCCGAGTAAGATTAGTCTCCATGAATGAAGAGGAAGGTGCAGACTACATCAATGCCAACTATATTCCAGTAAGTAGAAAAGAAATCAGGCCCCCAAATGCTAGCCCAGCCAGTGGAAGACAGTCAGGGCTGTTTGCCCAGCAGTTAACAAGAACCATTCCTTATCCAGTCATCCAAATCTAAGAAAACAATTTTCATTATTCCCTTTAATAACAAATAATGGGGGAGAAAAAAGTCCATAGATTAGTAATGCTCAGATTTCTCTGTAGAGGATTAGAAAAAACAGGAAGTAGAACATTATGTTAAAATCTTAGTTGTATTTAAATTTCAGCTTCAGCAACCAAACAAAAGATCTCCATCTGAATACCTGGTGCTTTTAAATATATACAGAAGTATAGTGTTTGTTATTTTAAAATGTGTAGATGTGATTCTTCTAGGATTCTGGAAGACAATGCTTAAAAATTCCAGGCCTATAGGGTCAGGTACTCTGCCTGTCTGATGAAAAGCAGGTGTGTGACCCTTTCCAGTTTCAGCACCAGCAGATTTTGCTTGTTCACACTGGTGTGGAGCAGCATTTGTTGACAGTGGCTGGTTAGGTGTTAACTTTGTTCCTTCTCTTTCAGGGATACAACTCACCCCAAGAGTATATTGCCACCCAGGGGCCACTGCCTGAAACCAGAAATGACTTCTGGAAGATGGTCCTGCAACAGAAGTCTCAGATCATTGTCATGCTCACTCAGTGTAATGAGAAGAGGAGGGTACGTACCTACGCGGGCTGTTCCCACCCAGAAGCAAACTTGCTTGACCATTGCCATCAATGACGTGCTTTCTGGGCGACAGAAATGTGTGCCTGCCTTTGTGTCCATCCTCCCAGCAGCCCTCTACAGAACTTGAGGGGCACACATCTTAGTTTTCCCTAAGAGAACACAGACTTCATTTCTTCCCCAACCTGTTTTTGTTTTTGTTTTGTTTTTTTTTGAGAGGTTTTTTTTTTTTTTTTTCACTATAGGGCACGTGCGCTCGCCAGAGAGAGAGAGACAGAGACAGAAAGCGAGAAATCACCCCCCAGGGGGGATGGTCACTCTGCAATCCCTTCTCCTCCATTCTCCTCTCGGGATCTTGGGCACGCACGCACACGTGCCCGGCGTGAGTTTTAAGCCACCGGGTCCGGGACGCGAATCATGGTGGACTACGTGGGAGTCCAGCGACATAGCCATTACACTAACTGCTGGTTCCCCCTCAACCTGTTTTTAAAACACTGTGCTATCCTCACTCTAGGTGAAATGTGACCATTACTGGCCATTCACAGAAGAGCCCATCGCTTATGGAGACATTACCGTAGAGATGATCTCAGAGGAAGAGCAGGATGACTGGGCCTGTAGACACTTCCGGATCAACTATGTAAGTCACTATCAGGAGCCGGGGTGCTGTCCCCCCATCACGGCCACCACCACCACCCCACTCATGCCCTGTCAGTGCGGAGGGACCAACCTACTACCGTGTAAGATGATGAACCTGCCAGGCTCCGCAATGCTGTTTATTTAAGAGAAACATTTCCTTTTAGTGTAGTTGTTACTCATTCCATCAAGGACAGTGTGGAATGAAATCATTGGCCTGGAGGGCCTGAGTAGATGAAATAAAAAGTCTGCACTGCTTCATCTCAAATTAGCCCAGGGCAATAAAAGGCAATTCATCATTGCTTACCAGGCATGACTGAGAAGGGAAATGTTTCATTAATTATATTGACCTCGGTGAGTATAATTAGGATATGCAAGACACACCGACTTTTTCCCACTTTAAATATTTATTGTGATTTATTCTTTACATCTAATCATTACACGTCTTTGTAAGGTTCAGAATAGTCTTTAAAAGCATGCATATGGTGTGTACATGCCAAGACATCAAGGATATAAACATATTCACCGCCTTCAACATTTAAGATATTACATTGTGAATATTTGAAACCTGTTCCAATGGTTATTCTACAAGTATGTACTGAATTGTCTCTGACATTCTTCACTGTGAGATACAGTTCTAAAGAAAAGCGTACTGAGGACTTTGGGCAGAAACAGGATTCGTGATACAGTAGTTCGGACCAGCGCGGGACCGACCCTATGGCCACAATACCTGGTAGAGAGCCAGGACACTGAGCTAGGGCTGCCCTGCTCAGTCTTGCTGGCTAGAGCAGCACTCGGCAAGGGAGTGGGCACCCAGGCTGCACCCGCCTCACAGCTCATGAGTCCACTGCCAGGCCTTGATTTCTGGCAGGGACAGTCATGGCATCCTAGCCAAATATTCTGCGAGGAAAGATGAGAAGGGGAAGAACATCCAGGTGATGGTGAGATGCAGATATTTAACTTGGCAGAGCGGAAAGGTAACATCCATCCAGTAGCAGAATGTGATCATGCTCGAAAAGATGTTAGTGTATGAACTGGAGAGTTGGCTGAGAAGAGCTCAAGGAAAATAGATACTTCCGATACGGTTCTTGGAGCATCAGCTAAATAAATGATGTTTTACTGAAGCGTCTGTCCAGTTCTGGATGAATTAATGATGGGCTATAATTGCACCATCCTCACCTGTGGCCAAACTGGCACTGGAGAGACCTCTACAATGGAGGGTGAAAGGTCACCTAAGAAGAGTACACCAGGGAGGAGGACCCCTTGGCTGGCATAATTACATCACATTTTTGAGAAACTTACTGATAAATCTGGCGTGCAAAATAAGACCCAGGAACGTGAAACCACTCAAAAACATTTGCAAGGAAAAAACTACAGCTTGTTCAAGGAGAATATATCACATCAGCCTTGAAAAGTACTGAGAAGAAACTTCGTGATGCTGCGAGCAAGCTGCTTAATATAGTTAAAGAAGCTGCAAAAGATGTATCAGCTCTCCATTCTAAGCTGGATCGTAAGAAGGCGGTTGACCAACACAGAACAGAAATTCAGGATACTTTCAGCAAAAATCGGACTAGTCTGATTAATAATATGGAAGAATTAATCAGGGATGGCAGCTTAAAACAAAAGGCTATGCTAGGAGTTCACAAGACCTTGTTTGGTAACCTACCGTCTTCCAGTGTCTCTGCACTGGACAGCCGTTGAATTGCTCACGTCTATTCCAGAAAGTGTGTCTGCCCATGTTTCTCAGATTTTTAACATGCTTCTGAAAGAACCGTCATTAGCAGCAGAAAGTAAATCTGTACTGTAGAAAGTGATTAATGTTCTTAAGACTCATCGTCTAAGTTCACTGGAAACATTGTCTCCCACTGTGGTATCTATATTGAAAAAATCAGTAGTCAACTTATACATATTATCAAGGCTTCGTTGACAGTGGCTGAGAAGATAGATCAGAAAAAAGAAATGGATGATTTCTCAATACACTGTAACACTCTGCATGAACTGTAAGAAAATACAATTTCTTCCTTGGTTGAATCACAGAAGTTATGTGATAACTGAAGACCTCAAGACAGTTAAGCAAACCCACTCACAGGAACCATGCCAGTTAATCAGTCTGTGGGAAGAGAGGTTCTGTGCTTTGGAGGAGAAGTATGAAAACATCCAGAAACCACTTAGTAGTGTCCAAAAAAAAAAAAAAAAAAAGCAGACATCTAAGAATGCCATCGACAGAACAACTTTTCACAGTAAAAAATTCTGTGCCGATGCCTGTGGCTTATGACAGAAACTCAGACATTTTCATCAAGAAGGTACCAAATTGTTTGAAGAGTCTAAAACATTGTGAAAAATCTCAGTGTTAACCTGGAAAAACTAAAAAAGAGACTTAACGGAGATCACCAAAAAAATCACATGGAAAAGGCAAAGAAAAACAGAGGTATTATCACAGAGAAGAGGACTAAAGTGGAAGAAACTGCAGGGCACTCAGTTACAAAGAGCAGATTACTGTATGAGCCCAGATAAATCTTTAGTTAGCTCGAGCATCAAGGGTTTATTAAGAAAAATCAAAAGTAAAACCTGAAACTCCCAAATAAGAGCCTTGTGTACAAATAGAAAAAGCATATTATCAAGGCCCTACAGCAAATTTAGTTGAACTTAATCTCTAGCGATGGTTCTGACAGCTCTGTAGTTCATTGTGTATTCAGTTGAGTTTTATTTGGGATTTGCTTGAATAAAATATGCATATATTTTTAGCCTTTCATATAAAATAGCTTTTCTATAACAAATGAAAACCATTTTTCTTATATATTATTGCATATTGAATAAATAGGAGCTGCCCTGTTCTTCTAGGCTTGAATTTACATAGGTAAATATCACCAATACTTGGCCTTAGAAAGGACTGTGTTATTTCTTTTCTCGCTGTGACTTAAACCTGTATTTTCTTGCCTCTTCCCTAGACTTTACTAGTTCGTCTTCTCCAGATCACTTCTTCCCTTTTCACTTGCCACCAAACCACTCATCGAGCTACAAAAAGAAATCATTTCTCATGAGATAGCCACACTTCTCACTATCTTAATACTTTCCAGTGGTTATAGCTAAAATCGCTATTAACAATAAACATGACCATAGAAATCTCTTCTTTCAATATTTTGAATTTGTTTCTCCCTAGATGTGAAAGTATTTCGTGGGGTTTTTTTGTTTGTTTGTTTTTAAAAGGCCGAATACTTAGCTCCTCCAGAAATCACAAAAAGTCAACTTCTGCAGAAGGTAAATTACTATCGTGAGGACTGCCTGGATTTCTGAGTAACGGCTAGTAACCATGTGGAGCTGGTATGGTCCCACTCTAAGTAAGGCCCATTTCTTTCCAAGAGGGTCACAATGATTTAAGGATTTTTTTAAACTACCAATTATGTTTATAATTTATAGTTCTTTGTTTACCTGATAAAATTGTTTTTATGTATAGTAAAATATGAATATACTTTGTTTTTACTGGAATATTAACCCCTACAAGGGCCCTGGCATGTTTGGTCTGGCAACCATAATTCAGGGCACTTACAAAAAATATGTGCAAAGAATAATTTCTGTGCCGCAAGGAGTTTAGCACATAGATTTTAGTGAGGTTGGCTTTTAATAGTCAAGTAAAGCCAAACTCTATTGGAGAATTAGAACTATGCTGCTCCAAATAAATTTATCTTGCAGAAGTATTAATTATCTTAATAAAAATAATGGGTATAATTTCTCTGCAAAATCAGATGTCAATATAAGCTGTGGGTGGTCTCTAATAAATTATCTTTGGTAAATCCATGATTAATAAATGTGGTTTGTGCATTGAAAAACAGTTGATTAAAAATCAGGCAACAAGCAATATCTTAAATTAGCAGAGATAATCTTAACATAGCCAATGAAAGACGGATTTGTAATTTCCATGTAGAGGAGTAAAGGAGATAATAAACTGAAAAAAAAAATCTGTGGGTATCAGTCATCGGTCCTGTTGAGGTAGGTAAAATTGTACATAACAATAGCTCATTATGGAAATAGAAGACGTTTACTCACTGTGAGTTCTTGTAAGACTATAGTACTGTACTGTGCATAAAGAAATAAATCCTCAAAAAAAAGTGGAAGCAAAGCATTAGAAAGATATGTTTAAAGGGAAAACGTGGTAAGCCAGTGATTTGGCAATTTATAAGTTTTACAAAGTTCTTGGTCTTAGCATTTTTAAAATTCATTTCAAAGAATCAGCTACTTATAACATTTTGGACTTTTCCTCTATTATCTCATTTAAACAACGAGTAAGTTGTATTATATAAATTGAAACCTGTGGAGACAACTGCGAATCAAATCATTTCTCCTTAAGCCTGCTGTGTGTAAAACAGTTGAGTCTGCATTTTCAGCCTTACAGTTGAGAAATTTAGCCCCGACATTCAATGTTATTATCAATATGTGTGGACTTATTTTTTAGTTCTGTGTTCTCTTACTTTTGTCTCCCTTTAGTTTTCCTGGTGTAGTAGTTTCTTAAGTATTTCCTGAAGAGTCAGCCTTATTTTTGTGAATTCTTTTTAGTATTTGTTTATCTGGGAATGATTTTATTTTTTCTTCCCAGTTGAAAGATAAGCTTGCCAGGTAGAGTCCTCTTGGCTGAAATTACTCTTCTTTCAGAGTTTTAAATGTATCTTTCATTCTTTTCTTGCCTGCATTATTTTAGTTGAGAGGTCTGTGTTAATCTTTTGAGGTAACATTTTTTAAGTGACTGGGTGTTTCTCTCTTGCCATTTTTAGAATGCTGTCTTTGTTTTTGTTTTTTGTTTTTTTAACCAATTTGGCTATATGCTGTGGAGGGAATCTTCTTATAACTATTGAGAGTCATCTGTATCTCATGGGTTTGGATGTCTGCATGCCTCTCTAGGTTTGGAAAGTTTAACCCGATATATTATGAAAGATGTTTTCTATGCCTTTTCCTGTCTCATCTGGAATACTTATTATGTGGATATTTGGCCATGGTGTCTAAGATTTCCCACAAATTGTGTTCATTTTAACAGTTATTTTTCTGTTCTTTTTGGTTATTTAAACTAAATCAGAGGCTTTGTCTTCAAGGTCAGTTTTTTTCCTAGGTGGTCTAATCCGCTGTTGACACTGTCAAGGGACATTGATCCCTGTATCGTATTCATTTTCTCTAAAAATTCTATTTGATTCCTTTCCAGTGTGTCTCTTTATGGAGTTTTTCCTCCAAGTCATAAAAGGATTCTCTCATCTCCTGGAACCGAGTGTTGATTTTACTTTGCACCTTATTTAGTCTTGTAACAATGAGTATTATTCATTCTTTTTCTGACCTTTCTGTGATCTCATGTTTTATCCATTGTTGGTGGTGAGTTATGATCTTTTGAAGGGGAAGTATTAATATTCTATTTCTTGGAACTCTGATGTTTTTAGTCAACTGATGATATGCTCACTTCCTCCTCCGTATTTAAGGTGTGTTCCACAGCTGAGTGCTCTGGCACCTCTCTATGATATGCGAAAGCTATGTGCCAACCTCCTTACTCTACTGTAGGCAGTGGTGCAGAATCGATAGTTTGAGTTTTGGATCCAGATTTTTATAGGGAAGTTCTTGCTCTTTAATGCTAAGGGAGTTGGGGAGAAAGAATTCATCCCCTGTCTCCTATTTTAGGGTGTTTGGTCTAGCATAGTCAAACATGACTGTTCCTTACGTCGATGGAGGATGAGCCAACAGGTATAGTGCAGAGCCCTGTTCCCCATAACAGGCTGGGCAGCGGTCTCAGCTGAGCTCAAGCTGAACTGCTTGGCTTTGAACTGCCTATTGGTTCTTCTAGCTCTGGCATCGCAGGGTCTCCTTGTTGTTCCTGCTGTCTTTGAGAATGCAGGAACCAGGAACAGATTCTTGAAAACTGGAGAGCCCCTCCTCCCGCAAAGTAGCCTAAGCAGGACTCCCTGTTGATGAACT